TTCTGCACTTGCGTTCATTGCTCCCGAAAAAAATGAAGGAGAGAAGAATGAATTCGAGGCAGGCCAAGTGGAGGAAAAAGTTGTGGAAAACTTTGCACCTAACATAAATCACATCTCCGACCAGGCTGCCCGCCCCTTTGCCACGCCCACTGGCCGTGTGTGTGTGGGTGCATTTGCATATTCCAATTTTGCATTTAATCAATTTACACCCACCCACAGAAAAACACTGTGGTATAATGGAGGATGGTAGCGCTGGCAGCTAGACAATTACCAGCATTCCCTGACATCGCCTGCCTGCTCGCATCATTTATCCTTGTTAATTTTTATTTAGCCAGCTAGAAAAAAACAAGTCCCTTAGCTCCAGTTTTTCACTGCATTTCATCCGGAGATCTTGAGCGATTGAGTCGTAACCCTGCGTTGACTTGTTTACGTGTTTTCTCCGAAGCACGGATACAAAAGCGCAGATACAGATACGGATTCATTCTGGCCCTGTGGGTGGCACCTGCAGTCCATTCAGCAACTGACTGACTGCAACAGACGGCGAACAAGTTAAGCGGAAGCGAAGGACAAACGACAAAGGACAACTCTGATTGAGACACATGTCCAACTGGCATTTACTCGTAGTCAGTTAAATGCGCTCTGAATCAAGTTAATCAAATGATTGAATTCACTAGAGCTTTTTAATGTATGATTCTCTAATAGCATTTGTAAAAATTGGATTTTAATCGAACATAGTTGAAATTTAAGACCAGAAAGAAAAGTAATTGATAATATGAATTCCTAATCCTAGAGTAAGTTTTAAGTGTTGAGAAATGTTTAAAAAAAATTAAATAAATACAATAAATAAATAAAACTCTAAAGCATATTTAAATTCACTAACTCAAACTATTTTTTATGAAACATTTGTGTTCCAAAATTTTAAATTAAAATGTATTACAAAAATTGTGATCTCTACACAATATAATGTAAATATTCTTGTCAAATAAAAAATAATTCAAGAATACTAAAATTAACGACTTAACGACGAAGAGGAAGAACCAAACTAATTTATACGTATAGGTACTCTCCCCTCCCTTCGAATTAAGGATTTTTCCCAAATAGGTCTGCCCATTTCTCGCTGCCAAATTTTCACACATTTTGATCTGCGGCAGATAAATTCCTTCCCGCCACATATATCAAATACAGAGGGTGACAACATTTGGCCAAGTTTTGGCAGGGCATTAGCCACGCCCCTAAGTTGCTTATCAATTGCACTGTGAGCCCACCGAAGTTGGCTCCATAACTTGCTAGCAGGGAGAATCCGAGGCATTTAACTTGCAATGACAGACCCCGACAGCCCCTGGCAAGCGACTAATGGTCAAAACTTATCGTCAAACTTAAATGGGATTTTATTATCGTCGCCGAAAACTTCAACTTCGCTGCTCCTTGGCCATGTTTTTTTCTTCTTCTTTTTCTGGGCTTCACATGCAGCCTGAGAATGGGCTTGGTCTCAGGGTTTTCGCGTTGCGAGGGCGTGGAATATAATTTTTCTTCTTTTTTTTGCCACGCCTAATGCGCTGATTTATATATAATACCATAATTATAATGCACTTGGTTCTCATGGATTGCCCCACCGAAGTTATACCGCAACTTTTGAGGTCAGCCCACATAAATCTTGTCAAAATTGTGCATTCTTCTATACTTTGGTTTTAATTAACTCAAGAATTGCTTAATTACCCAGCGAAAAAACAGCGAAACCTTACAAAAAGTGCTCACAAAACTCATAAGAAGTGCAGCGATGATGTGAGTGACGTGAGCATCTCTTGGCCCGGTCGCTTTGGCAATTAATGTCAATCAAGTTGGTAAGATACGAGTACCAACTTGGGCACACCATCCGAGCCATAATACCTCAGAAGGAGAACGTACGGTTCTGAAAGCCGAAAACAAATCATTTTCATACTTTTTAATGTCAATACAATTAAACTATCGAAAATTAAGAAACAAAAAAGATCATGTTCCAAGTTACTTATGTCACAGTGGCTGCCAAAAGGTGGCGAATTCAATTTAAGGCCACTCCTCTCTAACAGATTTAATTAGAAATTCTTTAGTGAATTTTTTCTATGGCCTCATAAATTATTCAGCGGATCGGTGAATGAGCATATGAAATATTTTTCCGGCGAAACCATAAATATTATTTGGTTTTTCCGCTGCATGTGAATACTTTTCGCGCTGACTGTTTGGGCCAGCCACTAAAATTAGTTAATGAGCTCTGCATGAGTTCGTCATGAAAAATGGAGAAACCTTAAAAACAACGAGGACGGAAGCTAACTTCGGCAAGCCGAAGTTTTAATACCCTTGCAGATTTTACGAATTAAAACTTGACTAGACTAGCAACATGCATTAATAAACAACAAAATATTTTATAATTGAAAAAATAAAATTTTAAAATTTTTCACCTTATTGTTCCTATGGGAGCTATAGGATATAGACGCCCGATCGGCACGCGCGTTTACCCTAATGAAGGTACGCACAAAAAAATACGATTTGGAAAGTTTCATGGGAATAGCTAATATTTTGCGCGAAATATCCTGAAAAACGTCAAATTTTGACCGATTTCACCCTATTGTTCCTATGGGAGCTATAAGATATAGACGTCCGATCGGCACGCGCTTTTACCCTGATCAAGGTACGCACAAAAAATACGATTTGGAAAGATTCATTCCAATAGCTCTTACACTGAGCGAAATATCTTCATTTTTGTGAAAGCTATATCCGATTGTTCCTATGGGAGCTATAGGATATAGACGTCCGATCGGGTCGGCTTTCAAACTTGATCTGCGTACACATGTTTTAGGACGACTGTGAAAGTTTCAAGGCGCTAGCTTTTAAACTGAGCTCGCAAACGGTATTGAAACAGACATACAGACGGACAGACGGACAGACGGACAGACGGACAGACGGACAGACGGTCAGACGGTCAGACGGACAGACGGACAGACGGACAGACGGACAGACGGACATGGCTATATCGACTCCCCTATTGATCCTGATCAAGAATATATATACTTTATGGGGTCGGAAACGTCTCCTTCACTGCGTTACAAACTTCTGACCAAAATTATAATACCCTCTGCAAGGGTATAAAAACATAACAAACGCAAAAATGCAAAGGCAAAGGCAGCAGAACAAATACAGAGAATAATGCCAAAAGCAATTTAAAGGTGCGGAGGTGCGGAAAGTGGCAAACAAATTGGCCAACGACATCAACAAGCCAACAACAGAAGTAAGCGAGACTGAAATTTGTTTCTACAATTGTTGGCAACATTGAACTTTAAATGGTAGCAGAGCCACATGTGATTGCGATTCTTGATCTGTGGTATTTTTTCATACATATTTCTGTATCTGCGATGACATCGAAACTGGAAGCCATTGGCCCGGACTCTCGGGCCAAGTACGTCACGCCGATGATGATGAGATGATGGGGCATAAAAGCCATTGCGATCGATCGATTTTCCAAGCGGGCAAATTAATTAAACTACAATTTTTGGAGTACAAGCAATACAAATTGTGGAGAGCACCCAGCAGAAACACCTTGACCTTCGGCGATGATAAATGGTTAACGGATGGGCGAAGATCGCAAGAAGAAATTTTGCTACAATTTTAATTAAAGCCAAACAAGATTTTCGAGCAGATCAAAATTGGTTCGTACTCGCACCGCAAAAGTGCCTGCACTTGGGAAAAAATCTGCTGACCACTTTGGATTCAATCGGTTTTATTTATGGTTTTTAATAGGTGTTGTTTGTAGCTTCTTTTAAAACTGCTCTGTTCTTAAGTGACCATTAATTTTAATAAAAAAAGAAATCCAACTAACTTATAATTAAATATTATAAAAATGGTAAATAGAAGATCACATTGCAAGTTTTTGAAATGAAATAAAAATAGTTTTATAGTTTTGTAAGGCATAAAAATGATAGTAAAAATGCAATGGTTTTGTAGATCGAACTTGCACCATCCTTAGATTTTTGATATTATATATTATTAGCAAAGGCTCAAGGGTGTTCTTCCAAAATTATTACTCTGAGTGTGGAAAAAAAAGCCAAATCATAAAAGGCCAAGCGGAAGCGAAAGGTCACTCACAAGGCTTGAATAATTGCTCAGGTAGTGCGTTAAACGCACAATAACGAACATTTAAAAGTCAATTATGGAAGAAAAGGCGAACGGAGCAGAGCGCATCTGCCAATTCAATACTATTCCGAAGGTTCGCCTCCAATCGATTCCGTCAGGCATTTCGCAGTCGCCTTGCTGAAAGCTGCTCAATTTGTCAGAGACCTCCGTTCACGCATGCTGTCAGTTATTTATTGATTTCACTTTATTGCACATCGTTCAAACACATTGGTTGGCATTGTTTGCATGCGTTATTGCACTGGCTCCTTAATTTAAAATAAATTTTTCATGGGCTTAAACTAATTTGAGCAGTGCTCAAGTAACCGTAAATGAGATGGAAATCACTTAATATCTATAATAGCATTTGAACAAGAATGGAAAATGCAGAATGTCATTATTTGGTATTTAGTTGAACAATAAAACAATGAATGAATGGCCAATCTGAGGCGTGTGTTCTGTGGACAATTGTTCCTTAAATTGTGGATGGGAATTATAAGTTTAGACTTCAAATACAGTAATCAATGCTACGATGTTCAATTCGATGCATTTTTGGTGTACAAAACATTGCCTTAGAAAGAATCAACAACATAATTTCTTATAATAAAAAACGGAAAGGACATTTTTCTTAATCCCAACTTATTGTTTTATGTTTGTTTAAAAAAAGTACGTTAAAATTTTGATTTACTAAATTCAAATTAAATTTTAATCAAATAAAGATTTTTTTTCAATTCCTTGGCTAATTTATTCTTTCGCATAACCTGCGAAAATCATTAGCCAAAGTATAAACTCTTCAATGAGTTACTGAATCAGGCTCTTTTCAATAATAAATAACCTGTACATAACTGATACTTATCTGTAGGTTATTTATATTTTTTTTGGAAGAAGACTTTTAAACTAACTTATGCTACATTGCACATTAGGCCGCAGTGGTGTAGACCAGATTTAATGTTTCGCCCCGCTCTCGAAGCTGACATCCGCATGGAAGCCCGTGTCGTCGGCGTGGTAGATAACATTCTGGATCCTTCCGTCCGGCAAGAGGATATGGTACTGGCCGCGTGTCACGCCGTGGAGATCACGATTCTGCTTGTGGCCAAAATCGTTGCCGGTATGGAAATCACGTATGCGATAACCGAACGCATACTTTGAGGCGTACTGCTGCAGCTGCAACGAAAACACAGGGGAAACACGGGGGCGGGGAATAAGTTAGTTATGTATTTGCGTATATTGTTCAGTAAACCGATAAGTTGCATTCAGCCAAAAGGGGTCTGGAATCGCTTTTCAGCACCTACCCACCCCCTCTATATGCACATTTCCTACTGCTGCAGTTGGGGAATTCGTGCGCATGCTGAAAAGTATGCGATGCAAAATGCATTAAGCACACTGTCATGTACAGTGAAGACTGAACGCGACAACTGGAAGACGCGCTGTGACAACCGTAGTAGTTTAAGTAACAGAATTTATGCATACGAATATTTTGGGGTTGTGACGGAAGATTTTACACCCTAGGAACCATTAAATTAAGTTTTAAGCTTAAAACTTTAATACGCTTTCTAGTTTAAACCTTCTCTTAGTTTATTATGTGAACGAAAAAAATACAAATTAATTATATAAACAAATTAAACTAAATAGGCTATGATTTTTCATGTTCAAAATTTTAATACATTTTCCAGAATCTTACTTTTAAATACAATAAGAAATTATAAAATTATAAAATATGTAATTATTTATTTTAAAATAATAGAACCTGGGGGAAAATTGGTTTGTTTGGTCTAAAATTTAAAGCAATAAAAATCTTTCCCAAACCCATTTAAACTATTTAGAAAAAAGAAGGGGATGAAACCAACCAAGGTTTTCAGATGTACAATGTACATAGTATTACTATGATAGTAATACCCCTTACATCAAGGGTATTTACAGTGCCCAGGCCGCGCCAATGGATTGCAAAGGCAGAATTGGGTCTTGGCTGATTTTGGGAGTTCCTGGGCTGGTGATGATTGGGCTGTGGAGGGGGGGACAGGGACAGAAGGCTGTCTGTCACTCGCACGGCTCGGTTTGTTATGCATGCGATTGTAAATTGTATCGTAATGAAATTTGCAACAATATACAGGACCAGTCCCCGGGTCCCCTATCGAACCCCCTTTCAAAATCTGTGGCATTCTGTATGCAGCAGAGCTGTCGTTTTGTTGTGTCCTGAACAATTTTGGCTTTGCCTTTTTATTGTAAGTATTTCGCATTTCAGGCATTTCAGCCAGATGAAAATAAAATAAGCAGGCGGATGTGTGCTCGCGGGTGTGAGTGTGCGTTTCCGTTTCCGCTCGTTCAAATGTTTTCGGGATCCCGACGACAATTGTTGGCAACTTTCGCTACATGTTTTGGGCTGCTTCTGCGGTTTTTATGGCCTGGCCCAAAGATTTGTGCGCCAGCGGGGGCGTGGCAAACTTTTTGATATGTTAATGAGTTGTAAATTAATGTTTAATTAAGTTACATTGTTGACTAGATTTCACCGACTGCGGGAAATGTAATTCCAAGTGACGGAACAAAAGTTTTTCAGGCCTTAGAAAATATCACAAGTGCTTTCTTTTGATTGCAGGCCTGATTGACGTTTGTTTTAAGCAGTTTTTCCCCCAAGAAAACACTCGATTTGATTGCATTCACCCCCCTTCAGTTTTTCAACACCCACGCGATAAACATAATTAATAAATTCCTTGCTTCAGCAATTTGCCAACATTTGCACTCGCCTTCATCTCCTAATGAAATGCAAAAAATATTTCTGCGATGCTAAGGGCTTCATTAGGAGCACGGTAAAAATGTTAATAGATTTCTATATGTCTGGGGGAAAAAATGCAAAATAAACCGCAACAGCGGATGAGTATGCAAATTTGTGGATGGCGTCCAGACGCCAAGTATAAAAGACTCTGCAATTCGGAATTTCATTACTAGTTGGTCTGATTAAAGTGAACATAATTACAATGCAGATAAAAAATGTCGGCAGGGGGGTTGGTAGACCAAAATGTTTGCCTGGTAAAAAAACACAGAATCCAGCGAAGTGGAATCCGAATCAGATCACGTGCCATATTGAACTGGACCCTTTTTCCCCGAATCCGATGACGTGGCCATTTTTTGCGCCCCTTTCTCCAACGGATTGCGATGGATGGATAAATAGATAGATGGCTGGCCAAATATGACAAAAGTGCCGCTGCGAGCCAAGTTTATTGCTGGATTCCATGGACACTTTTTTGCATTTAACACGTTTCCATTGCGATGGCGTTGGCTCTTAGCGAATTGTGCAGCGAAGTCGAGTGCAAAATGCAATTGCAGGCCAAGCTACGTGAGTTCGTTTAGTTGCGAGTGAGCGATCAGATGGCCAAAGTATGTCCAAATTGACATGCCGAGCAGCTCGAACTTTCTTTCATGGCGAAAAGCAATAAGCCATCCCCAGCTCCACTGGGGTAACTTAATGCGCACTTCCGAGCCACATCCACTTCCTTTGGCCCAAAGGAAAGTGCTTTGACATCGGACATCCAAGGCGTTGGCTGACTTTTATTTCTTTTAATTTGCATGTAATCAGCATTGTTATTCCCTGGCCCTTTTTCCTCCCTTCCCTTTTTCCACCTTCCCCCTGAATTCCGCGGCTTTGTCATCTCATCTGCGCTCATTAAAATGTTTTTGCCTTTTGTTTGCCCTGCGGCATTGGCCTGGCCTGCCCTGGCCTTAACCTTCCCCCAGCCACTGCCCTTGTGGTTAACCCTTGCGGCCCCGGGGGGGTCAGGATGTTCATTATCCGTGGGCGTGGCTCAAATCACTGTGTGACTGGATTTCATTGTGATTTTCCACTTAATTCGATTTGTTGTTTGCCTGTCAGGTTTTTGCGGTCGAAACATCAAGAAAAGTTGGCAAACCACTGACAATTATTATGCCCCCGGGTGGTCAGGAAAAATAATAATAGCGGAGTCCATAAATAAACGAGAGAGGCGAGGGATATTCGTAATAAACGTAAAAAATCACTTTAAGAAAACTTCGTTGTTTAAAATTTTTCATACGGTTTGTATAAAGAGATAGTAAAAGTATAAATACTCATAAAGAGATATAAAAAAATCTTTTTAAAACCCTCCCATTTGTTTTTAAAAACCCTTAGCTAAACCTGAATTTTTCAGATTTAGGGCTTAAACAATGGCTGAGATAAATTATATGATATTAAATGGGATAGCAGACAGCATTAGATTTTATGGTATTACATTGCCACATGACTCCAGCCTGTTGGAGACCCCACTTAATCTCGTTCTTAGCCATTCAAATCGTTGCGTTAGCTACCCTCTTCAATTAGCTCCTGATTTGCACTCAGCCGGAAAGGATTCCGTACTCCTCTCCCCAAACCCAGTGCCATAACACTAATCCTTGTTGGGTAACTAAAGCCGCCGCCCAGGATTCCTGCCCAATGCCTCTGTGCCCCCGAATGTGTTGCGTTTATTATTCACACAATTCGTTTAAGCGCTGCAAACACCTCCATGCCGAAGCCCGAAAACCTCAAGGGACACAGGCAGAGATTGGGCGACTGGAGAGGATGGGCTGGGGCAACCGGACTTTGACCAGGATCAGGGGAGTTGCAGCTGCAGCTGCATGCTCATTTAAAATTGAACAAGACCTGGGACCGAGGATGGTCAGCAACCGAGTGGGGCCAAATCGCATTTAAATGGAAATAAATGTTGTGTCCAAACAATTTACAAAAACCAATTTTACAATGTAATGCGTTCGGAGCTGCTTCAATGCCATGTGCCATGTGCCTTGTGTGGGTGGACTCAGGACTCTGGTTGGGTGGCTGAATGTTGAATGTTGAATGGGTGTGGGGGTGTGAAAATCCCCATCAAGTGGAACGTGTTCAACAGCGTTCGTCAGGCAAATGGATGTCCTGGGCTCGTTGATGCCACACGGCAGCCATTGACACAATTGCCGCTGCCTTCCAACGAAACTTTTTGGCCACGCAATTATGACCGCTGCAGCTCCAGAGATCCAAAATCCGAAAAGAGCACAGGACGATGATTAGACCGGCGGACCTCCTACGAAAATTGTTGTATAATTTTCAGTAGAGTGCCGGAAAGGGAAGGCAAAAATTTTAAATGCAACCACCCACAGTTTTTATGGCTCGCTTGTTAGCAATTTTCATTTTTCGAGCTGTGGCGTCTCCGACCAAAATTGAGTTATCAGTTTGTTGGCTCTGTTCTCGGGCTGATTGCGTGACAGCTGCTGCTCCTGGTAGTCCTCCTGTCCCCTGCTCCACATCCTTGTTATCCCGGAGAATCGGACCTGCTGGAGCGGCAGCCGGAAAAAAAAATCCATCTAACGAAATGGCAGAGCAGCAAGAAAAATGTCAAACTACGTGATTTTTATGCGAATGTGGCTGTCAATACGTTGCAAACATCATTGGAATAGGAATAGGAATAGGAATAGGAAAAGCCATGGCTACATATAGTTTTTCCCCACTCGGAGGGCCGCAATATTAGCTGTCCTCGCAGTTGCAGTCGGGTGGCTGTGGTTTATTATGGTTGGCGAATGAAGTGAAGCTAATTTAAAGTCAACCAGCGGGTCAGATGTGCCGAGGCAGGGCTATGAGGTATATCGACACCAATTTTGTATGCCTTGTTTAAGGGTCTTTCGCTTGCAAATTTCTTTAAAGCGAGACACACTGGAAAACCATCAATTGCAGGACAAAGGCGGCACTCGGAGCACATTAGCAACACATGCCAAGTGGAATTTGGGGAGCTCTTCAACCTCTCAATGGGAACTCTCTGCTGGGAAATGGAAAACCCCTTTTGTCGAGTGATTCGCAATGCCCGAACCGAACTTATAATCCCGGAACATATGTCGGAGGGCTCCATTAAATAAAACTTAAATCCCTGGCAACCTCTTTTCAACACTTGCAAAAATATGTTGTAACCCCACTACCCCACACCATTGGGCAACAAAAAGTAGAAGGCCAAAGAAAACAAGCAACAGCAAAAGGGTTGAAATAAAAATGAAATTAAAATATGTGAGTGGGAACCAGAAAATATTGCACCTGCAGATGGCAAGCAAACGCAAACATAATACAGTAGAACTGAGGTAAGCTGAACTGGAAAATAAACGGAAAATAATTAGTCTTCGTAATATTTAAAAAACATTTTTCT